TATGAAATCAAATTATATCGGTTGGAGAAACAGGTTTTGGACAAACACTTCTTTAGGTCTTAAATAGACCAATCTTCAACATTAGGTGCAAGTGCTAAGGTTTACTAGCCACGTTAGTCAAAACTTAGATACAAGCTCATAAAAGACTGGAGTTACACAAAACCTCAGTTGTGGCACTTCCTATTTTTGGGGTGCTTGAGTCTGCAGCCTCAGTAATGCTGTCATTATTTATATATGTGTTATATACCTGTATGATCCCCAGAACCTATCAGAGCAAATGCTGAAAGGATACCCCAAAGTTTGAAGGAAATAAATTTGTGGTAATTCTGGGGAAAAAAAACCCTCTTGTTCTTTGATAAAGTCACTGAGTATATTATGCAAAAATAAAAGGGCAAAAAAGACAGATGATTTGTCTGTTGATCCATCATTTATTGGGTTCCTTACACACAGCTGGTAATGCATGTCGATTGTATTTTATTAGTTGGATACACACAGCAGTTGGGTGGATCTTTTCACTGGCATTAAGGTAGATTACATTTTTGCTCTTACCTCATTAACCTTTATTGCTAGTGCTTTAGTTTACCGAGATAGAGTTTGTCACTCTGCAATCCTGTGTTAAATTAAATAGAATGCTTTGTAGGTTGTCTCATTTCACTGTATTCCCCTCTTTAGCTCAGTATTGTAGATTGTTGCTCATTTTGAATAAAACAGTCTCCAGACAAAACAAATAAAGTTTATTTACAACCTAATAGTAATAAAAGTCCACACAAACAAAAATTTACAGGTTGCTTCTATTTGTCTTTTGATTTCTAAGTCTTCAGAGCATACATGAAGATGTCTTGTAGCATTGTTCTGCAGGCAGGGACTTACTTCAATTTAATTAAAGTTGGAATTCCCACTGTAATCATATGAATTTAAGAGTTGGGGCTTTAAAAAAAAATACAAAATATTCTCAGACTCTCAGCTGAATCATGAGTTACCAACACTCAACTGCAGAGCTGCATGATTCACTGTGAAATTGATTTTATCATATGGTTCCACAATGCATCCTACTTTTTTTTCAGTTTTTTCCATGTATTTTTAATGCATTGCCAGCTCTTGGGTACAAATTCCTTTCCCTTCAGCAAATTCTAACTTTCTAAACACCTGAGCAGTTTCAAACACCTGATATTTAATTTTCATCTGTCTTCCAGGGAAATATTTTTTTCCTCCTAAATGTGGATATTTTTCTGCTAAAAGTATACACTTCTGAGGTACACTATTCAATCTCAAAATATGAGTAGTTGAAGGGCTAAAAATTAGATCTCTATCAATGCAAAAAAGAAAGAGATATAGTTTCCTTATAGGACTCAATGCTTGCTTCTGTCACTGGTAAGTCAGTAACAGGTATCCACCATTTAAATGTTCACACTTTCATTAATAGAAGAACCATCCAGTTGTTTTAGAATTGGTTTGCCTTCAAGGAGCTCAAACTCACTCAAAGATCTTAAATGCATCTTTTCAGGAACATTAATTCTATTGACACCAGTGTAATTCCATGCTGTAACATGCTTAAATATTTTGCAGAATCATGGTGCTACAAACGTGGCCCTATAGGTGGAGAATCTCAAAACATCTTAACTCTAATATAGCTAAAATTTTATTTAAAAAAAAAAAGTAAATGTGATTCCAGATATATATGTGTGTGTGTGTGTATGTGTGTGTATAGATATATATAAAAATCATATGACAAATAAGTTTTTATTGTTACTTGCTTGGAAGGATATATACATATATATCTCCTTGGAAGGAGATATATAGATATATATATACACACACACATGACTAGCTGAGTTTTATAGAGGCCATATCTATTGTCCAACCATACAGTTGCCAAAACACAACTATTTTTCAATGAGCAGAATAACCACACTCCCTCTTTACTTAGATAATTGGCTAAATGACATAAGTCAGCTTCATATTTTAAAAGATGAGCAGGTCTATATTAAATAATTTGAGATAAATCATGGACCGCTTGAAGGACTGTAAACAATTAATAATGATAAATAGGCTGCAGTTTGTTGAAATAGATGCAAAGAGGTATCTAGGGAGATGCTGAAGAAGTCAGTGTTGAAACAAATTTACTATAATCATAAATGTTCGAAAAGGGGCAGTTGATTAAATGAGTATATGATATTTTTTAAAATTTCAAATGTAAGCAAGTACAGGGGGGAAAAAGAACCGTGTTAATCAAAAGAAAGTAGCAACATGAGATTATTTCAACTGAAATATAAGTTTATAATATGAGAAAGAGTAATTACAATCATAATTATCTTCCCCTCACACAATTCTCTTCAGATATAGTTATGGTTTAAAAAACATTCAAGAACTTAAGACACTGTTGGCATCAAGAGCCTGATACACAGGCTGTTAAAATGAAAGGGAGCCTTTCCCTTGATGTCAGCAACTTTGGATCCAGCCTTACAAGATTTTCTGGATTTGGGATTGAGTTAATGTAGAGAGTAATAGAAACTGAAATATGTTGAGGACTACAGAATAAGGATAAGGTAATCAAATACTGGCAAATTCTCCCTGTAGTGACACAATAACAGTATAATTATAATTAAGTCACGTCAATGTTTGTGGACACAGTTTAGGGTAAGATGCTTAGAGAAACATTAATATTGCTTAGCCTTTTTCTTCCATCATAGCATGAGTATGCACAGATCAGTGACAGTTCTGGGATTATTATTTAACATGCAGACTTAAGAAAACAGCCATTTGTTTTCTATGGATTTTCTTCATGTTGGAGGACAGGGCTGTAGGAATTCAAACAGCTGAAGAGAGGTCTACGTTAAAATATGAACGTATGAAATTTAATTTTCAAATAATATAGTCTTCCTGAGTCTGATGTGCTAAGCATAATAAATGAACAAGCACACAGTACTTTATGCATAAGCAAAAATAAATCAGTGCAAAGTCCCTGTAATTCATCTGGTCAAGAAGACTTATTAGACAAGGTCAAATTATATGAAAATCAATCTTCATAGATTGGATCTGATTTGCATTAGTAGATAAATGTTTACCATAATTCCAAATCAAGAACAAGACTATACAGTAATTCCTTCATCCATGCTCATGGTCCGTCATACCTAGGGACATACCATTACTTACATAGGCTGTGCTTGTGCTCAGTTCAGCTAAGGGGAGCTGTGCAGAAATGCTGCTCTAAGCAGAGATACCTAAATAATTTTTGCCTAGCTTTGGAAAAAAAACTGTCCTGAGTTAACCTGAAGCTATTTTTTAATCAATTTAAAACAAGTCTAACAAAATTTATTGTTTTCCTTTGTCCTCTCTTATATCTCCAACAGGGAGGAGAGCTGCCCTCCAATCCTTTTTCTCACTTGACCAGATGAGGAATTCGACCTGATCTCCCATTTGAGAGGACTGTCCTAGAGGTGGACTTCAGCTTGCAAGTAGATTGTCACCCTGCAACAGGCCTCCTCTTCCTCAGCTATCTGAGCTGCATTCAGGCATGCCTATGAATTTAGTCTGAAAAAGCTTTAGGAAATGGTTTAGGAAATGCCAAACTGATCTATTTTGATTTTTTTTTGTCATTTGTTTTCTTTTTCTTTTTTTTTTTAACGTGAAGCTGTTTGCCAAATTCAACTCATGCTTGCAAATAACTTTGGTTGTCCTCAAATTTCTTTAGGTGGATGAATAAATCATTGAAAATCCTGAATCCCAATCTTAGTTCTAAACATATATTTATTTTTCTCCCCCCTTCAGTCCTGGTCTAGGTAAAGACCAAAACACCTTGTAGTATAACTGTAGTATAACACTAAAATTCCACTTCCTAAACTGCTCTAAATTATGCTGTGGCAGGAGGCTGAGTGCTCTGTTTCAAATGTTGATTTGCAGTTCACTGAGAGGTAGAAAAGCGTTTGGTAAGAGATACTCACGTGAGGGAATCCTTAGGTAATTTTTAAGATGGCTTCAGCACCCAAAGCAGCCAGACGCCAGGTCCAGAATAAAACTTCCACATCTCAAGTGGAACTTGAATAAGACTTACAACCTCTTTACACTTTACAGTAAGTTTTTCCCCATTGGGCTCGATTCTGATTTTTCCTTTGGTGGATTTACACTGATGTAACTCTACTGGTGGGAAATAGAGTTGCTCTGGATTTCACCTGGCATCAGACCTCTCTGAATATGATGCTCTGTCAACAGCTTTAACATAGTCCTGGGTCCCAGGCAGGCACCTACCCTCATGACTTGTAAGTTTAACCTGTCATACGACATTAGTGCTAGGAGAGACTGCACACTTGCTCTCAGGGAAGCCAGGAGGGCTGGAGGGTGCTCATCACCCTCAAAGGATGAAGGTTG